TGGGGGCGGCAGGCGGCTCCCCTGCGGTCCCCTCCCCCTCCCGCGGAGCGCGGCCCCGGCCGGGGCGGCGGCTGTAGGGTCTCAGTGCGCGCCTCCTCGCTGCAGGTGAACGACCCCGACGCCGGGCTGTGGACAGTGAGTACGGGCTGCCTTTCCCGCCGGGCAGTTGGAGCGGGGCGGGCGCCGGGGATGGGCGCCGGGGGCGGCCCTTCTGCTGCGGCTCCGCCTGCCGGCGCCTTCCCCGAGGGGGCCCCGGTGGCTCCAGCGTCGCTCCGCTGCACCCATCCGCCCTGCGCCTGGTCCGAACCGGGGCCGCCGGCGGAAACCGGCTCCCTGCTTTTAGCTGAGGAGCAAGCAGGCGGCGGGAAGACAATCTGTCTACTGCAGTGACGGCTGAAATCCGACCGTGCTTCCAGGAGCTTCCTTATTCCACCCCAGATTTGCACCAGCCCCCCGCAAAGCATCGGTTCCCTGTGCAGAACACACCAAACTGCTCTCGTTCCTCCTGCCCTGCGCCCGACCCCCCGACCGGGCGACCTCCTGCCTCCATCGCCACCTCTTCTTGCCTTGAATCACCAGCTGGACTGCTTTCTGTCTCCGCTCAACTCGCAGGGCTTCCTCAGCCTCCAGGGGAAACCTAGAGGGAAACCCTCTTCTCTGCCCACTTTGCCAGCCCTTTCTCGGGCACGTGAACAGCCCGGTGGCCCCGGACTGGTGTGCACAGGGCTTGGAGCTGAGGGGCAAGGGGGGATGTCTCTGTATGTGGCAGGGGCTGTCCCCTGCATGTCCCTTGTGCAGTGGGACTTCCCTTGTGCGGGTGAGCCCAGCTGACAGCGCAGGGCTGTGCTGTGCTGTGGCAGCAAAGGAGGTTCCTGCTCCCAGGGGAGCCGCCCAGTGCAGGTGGAGGGCTTGGGGGGCTTGGAGGGGGGGTCCCGTAGGGGGCTTTCTCTAGGGGATCAAGATGCAGTGCAAGGGACTCTGCAGTGGGCTGGCTGAGCAGCGAGGACTCGGTAACCCAGAAGCTGAGGAACAAAGGCTGGCACTCAGCTAGCTGATGGTCCAGGATTTTGGGTGGTGATGGTGAAGATAAGCAGTAGCAGTGCCAGGTTACACCGCAGGGAGAGGGATTGGCAGCTGTCCTGTGCATCTTACGAACTGCTGTGAAGGGGAGCAACCTTGATGTGGATGGGGGCTTCTGCTTCCTTATCTTACAAAGTTTTGCTACAAAGTAGATTTATGTTTCATTAACAGGTTGTCTACTTAGTGCCAGCTGCCCTGACGCTGCTTGTCAGCGTTAAGCCTTCAGTAACAGGTACGATACTGGTGTGCAAAACAGAGTCTCTGCTCAAATATTGCTCCCAGAAGTTTTTTTAATTGAATCACAGCTTAAGTTCAGGCCACGTGGAAACATGTCCTATTACCTTTTGAGAGCAAAAACCTGTGGGACCTGCTTCTACAAAGCTGGTCATTGGTTCAGTGCTCGTGGTTGGACATGCTGCAGGTGAACAGAGGAGCCCTGCATGAAGGCCTGCTGCTGGGATGGTCTTACCGTTGCACCCCAATTCCAGCGCTTAAAGCCTGAGTGGAGCACAAGCCTGGGAGCATGCTCTGAACCTGGCTCTGGTGTTGATGTTAGCCCGTTGATTCACTTTGTAAATCTGCGTTTTTGCTTATCTATCTTATAGAAGAGCAGTTGGGCTCTGCACAGTCCTTTGAAAGAGCTAAAGGTCTTGTTCAGTATCAAGTATTGCAGCTACCCCACAAAGCGCATGGGCAGCGATGGGGATGTTTAGAGGCTTCAGTGCAGTGGCTGAGTTTCCGAGGGCTTATATGCTAAGGAGGCAAATGCCACATCACATGTTGAGACAATCAGTCACATCAGATTTGGTCCAGGACTCCAGAAAATAGTTTCATTTTTTGTATTTTCATCCAGTAGAAATAATTTTTAAAAAATGACATTTTATATACACAAAGTGACTGTATCTTTTCTGGATGAATACTTACTCTGAATGAACTAAAACCACACTTATGTCAAAAAAGAAAATCTTCAAGAGTGCATGCTGTTGTCACAAATCACACCATTGTAGTCTCATCAGCATTCTGGCTACCTTAAGCATATAAAATGGCAGCATTCATAAAGCCAAAACCTGTGAGGGTTGGTTGCCTGTGGTTTTGAACATTTCAGGGGAGGTTTATTTGTGTGATAGGTGTAGCTTCAACATGATGGCATTTGGCTGGTCAAGAGAATCTGCATGTTAAAGTCACAAGTAGGTTTTTGTTACTTGTGCCAAGATCTGTGGAAAATGAAGATTAAAATAGCACAACTATTGTATAACTGGACATTTATGTAAATTCACCAAGGGATATTTGCCATTCAAGTCTATGGAAGACCCAGATTCTGCCTCTGCTGAGCTGCAGTAAGTTCAGCAAGATGGGGCATCAATTACTACACTGGGTCACACTGAGCTCTTGAATTTTGGCACCTCGTCATCTTTAATGCTTGCCTGGAGGGGTCAGTGCCCAGAAAAGACTGCTTTGAACTTTACGGGTTTTGCCATTGACATTGCTGAGATCAGGGAGAACTCTCTGTGTCGTTTGCTCACCTCTCCCCCACGAGGCCCTGGGAATGGACATGGAAAGCCACAAGAATCTGTGGGCCCATTCAGATATTTCACACCATCTGTATTTCTCTGTTTAAAAACATCAGTCCCCAGGCAGACATGTCATCAGTGTTGCTCGTCATCACCAGCAAAATCTCAGGCAGAAGCTTATCAGGGAGTGTGAGGGAAGATGCTCCCTGCAGTGTGGTGGGTGCTCGGTACTCCTGGGAGCTGGGGCTCGCTCCCCTGGACTCCAGTGGTCCTCTGGGGTCATGCTGAGCATCTGGTTGTGGCTGTGAGCTCTGGAAAGGCTGTTCCTCCTGCTTAAGAGAACTTTCATTTGTAATCCACCTTGTGATTTTTTTCCATGCATGTTGAATGCTGGAGCCTGTTTTCATAGAATCATAGAATGGTTTTGTTTGCTGGAGAGAATAGGAAGCCATTTTCATTGAGGTGCTGCTGCCAAGAAGTTGCATTCCTAGGAAAACAAGCCCCAAGCCCACTAGTGTTTTATTTTCAACACCACTTTCTAGCAGATCTCTGTGGTCATAAAGATGCTGGTATTAATTCTATCTTACTGCCTAAGATGTGTGTGTTTGCTGGAGGCATCTTTTTTAGCAACTCAGTTGCTTTTTGATTTATAGGCTTTACTTCATGCTACATTGCAGTTGCTGGCAGTCTATTTTTTTCCTCAGATAATGGTGTTTGGAGGAGCCTCTGTGACCTTCATTCTGCTGGTTGTATTATTGGGACCGTTGCCTTGGCTTGTTCTTTGTTTGCTTATGCTCAAGGAAACATTTTGCACGAAGAGGAAGGCAGGTAAGCAGTGATTTTTATTTTCCCCTGCATGAATCAGCATGCCAGGCCATCTTCTTCTGGTGGTCACCTTGCTAAACTTTATTTGCTGGGCTGTTGCAGTGAGTGCTCTTGGTCCAGGGGAATCAAACCAAGGAGGAGGGACCATAGTGCTCCAAACCGGCGATTTGTTGGACAAAAGAACTAAAGGGAGAGTGAACAGTTGTGATTACTTGCCTGATTGTGGCAGTTAGATTTAATTTGGGGCAGTTCTGGCTTTCAAAGTCCAGGGCACTAGTACAGTGAAACAGCTTTGTGTTCTCTTGCTGGAGCTGTATGGGAATTCAGGTTTTAAAAACTCTTGAGGTGATGCCATATGCATGTTTATCTGGCTTGGGCCGCTGAGTCCTCTGAACTGCCAGGGGTTGAGGGGGAGGGAGGATTTTGCACCTGGACATTCGGTTGTTTGCCTAAAGGAGGTGCTTGCATGGTACTGAGGTGAAGCACTGGCAGCTACTGCGGCTGCTTATGGTCTGGAACACTGGGATGCTGCTTTGCTCTGTGTTAATGAGGGAAATGTGCTGTGGAATTTAAGTTTAGCAGCGGAACAAACAGTGGAAGCAGGGATTTTTGCAGCTGTATACATGGGTTGTGTGTTTGTAGATTTGTGGTAGGAAGCAAAGTTACTCCATGTAAATACCTTTATGATTATAATCCTAGTAAAATACATTGAACTTCTCCAAAAGAGCAGACACTACTCTTTTGGAGGCAAAATTTGTATTTTTTAAAAGTAAACATCTGCTTGTATTATTTTCTGATCTGTTTTTTGTTTGGCTTTTTAGAGAGTTGTTTGGTCTGGTGATTATTACAATATGGATGAGTCTTTGTCGCAGTTCAGCAAAGTAAGTTTTGTTTCCTTTTTTTTTTTTTAATCCATTCATATGTTCACATTTAGTGACTAGCTTCTTGAAAACACACAGTTGATTTTGGCAGCTTGTTTTTCTGTTTCATGTCACTGTCTGAACCTTCACAGATACCTAAGCAGTAGTAACTGGTACTACAGCCTGTAGGATCTTGAACAGATAAAAGTCTGTGCGGGGAAGGTAAAGCTACATGAAACATTTTTCCTGCTCCCCCTGCCATAATGGGCAGGGGACATTCTCCCTTTGCCTAAGGACAGTGCGCCCCTTCTGCGGAACAGGCTAGTGAGTGTTGGCCACAACTGCTATTGAACTGCAAAGCTATTTCTGCCATTGCTCCCAATTTACAGAACTTTCCAGTGAGCGTCTCTGTACTGGTGTCCACTGCATCCACCGGACCAGGTGGGTGATGCAGGCAGAGCTGGCAGAAGGCTCTGGGTGCCTGCCTGGCTGCAGTGCCTCCACACTTTTCCCCTCCAGACTTCAGAGGACTGTGCTACAGCAGTTTTGCTAAATTCCTGTTAGCTGGGAGCATGAAAAATCCCAATCTGCCAAACAGTACCTTCGTTTGGGAAAACATGTCACAATGTCACATGCTCTGGGCAAGCAGGGCGCTTTTTTTTTTTTAACCTGGTTTATGTAGCGTGAGGTGGCAGAAAAAACTTTCTGCTGACATGTGGTGCCTCTCCAGTAAAGGACTCTGCTGATGCATCCACAGGAGCTACATTAAAGTGGCCAAAGACTCTCTGCTGTTTTTTCAACTGCAGCCAGGTGTGAATGTTTCATAGCAGCCTGATTTGAAGTAGCTCTGTTGCATTTGCTTCTTTGTAGGAATCCACTGGGTGGAGTTCGCTTGATTGCTGCAATTGTGGTTGCCCTCTTCCCATTTGTTTTGTGGCTGTACATTTATGTGAACAAAGAGATGCGAGCATCTTGGCCAACGCACTGTAAAACAGTGATTTAATTGGGTGGGAGAAAGTATCGAATAAATATTCTGACCTTACTTGCCTTTGCTTTTGGTTCTTAACAAAAGGTTAGTATCAGTTTGATAGGACCCAAGAATGCCTGACTGATTCCAGCAGTGCGGTTTGAGGTTTGTTAAAAAAATTGAGGAACACTGTCAAATCTGAGCAGGAAACTGTTGTTCAGCTGGCTTCTTCATACATCTTCAAAGCACTGTTGATCTAATGTGTGTTCTAATGGTATATTCAAGATACCCTGGCATCCTTGGATCACTCTTCAACCACCTTGTACTTTGGGAAATCTACTGTTCTGTAACATAACAGAAAAGTAAAGCAAAAACTTTCTTTCAGTAAATGACTACTTACAGCCATAAAACTTCCAGATATCTGCCTGGATAGTCCATTAAGACTAACTGAAAAATTGAGCAGTCTGTATTTCTGTTCCTATGCTAAAATCATATGTAGAATATATCTGAAGAAATACTTTTGCTATTATCTTTAACTGAAAATTACTGGGTTTACATATTAATAAATACTATTTTTCTAAAGAAAATTAAATGAAAGCTTCCGTATCTTTTATTTTCTGCAAGATGGGTACTCAAGACTGCCACCAGCAGATGTGGTGACTATCACAACTCTGCTTCTCATAGAATTTCTGGTCCTTGAAAGCAGAACCCACACAGCAGCCCAGCGACAGTAAGTGTGTTCCACCACTACTAATCCTGGAGAAGGTAGCACAGGTGAATACACTTGGACACGCAAGCTGGCTGGGAGAGAGCCAGAACAGGTCCAGATGCAGCACAGCAACATGCTTTAGATATACATCAGGGATTTTCTGCTCAGTACTGCTGCAGGCTAATACAGCTGTGCACACAGTGGGTGTATCTACAGCATTACATGATGTAGCATAGATGGTCCATTTTCCTTGGGCTTAGCTTTTTTTGAAGATTGCTTTAGTGTTTTAAAGCAGTGTTAAGAAGACTGCATTAGGCTGCAGGGTGGACTAATTCTGCCAGACATAAGATATTATTGACTATGTTAAAAAAAATAAATTGAAATGTAGCTGGGCAGGTACAATTCTGCATGCTTTAATTCTGACTGATATAAAAAAAGTGGCTTTTTTTGGACAATATTCATAATACGGTTTGCATTTTTTCACAGTAAGTAATAATCCAGTCAGGATTGGGTGTTTCAAGTCAACATTCTGCATTCAAGTATATTTATTTCAAACATGGTTACTGGCCTTCTCTATTCTCCATGAAGAAACAAGGTCTGTTTTCTTACAGAAACATAATTTTTAAAATTCTGTATCCAAGAGAAAAATTTTTGAGTTAAAGCTCTAAGGATCAGCCATGCACATCTTTCTACAAGCAAATAATAAGCTGAATCCCCTGCTTTTTTATCTGAGTACTTCATGAAGAAGAGCAATTTGTATTTGCTTACTATTTTAAGAAATGCATAACTCTATCTGAAATTCTGCCCCTTCCCTTTAATATCATTTTATCTTCATAGACATAAATAGTTCCAAAGGCATTGCTTTCAGGTGGAGTTTCAATAACCCCCTCCAAAGTCAGATGATGAACTCCATGAGAGTCTAAACAATAGCCACCGTCATGCAGGTGCCCTGCAAGAAAGCAGACCACGCACTGATGGGAGTGTATGACCGAAAGAGCATCTTCGTAATTCCAGGCTAGGCAAACTCTGTCTGAGGCATCTGGATGAATGGGCAGATGACCTGCAGTTGAGAGGGAAAGAAGCAGGAGAGCTACTTTTAAGTGTAACCAAACTCTACTTTCATTGCTGGGAAGTTCAGACATCTAACTGTATACAGAAAGCTCACCTGAGTGGGAGACATGGTTGCTATTCTCCTACTTCACAGGTTACGTGTGCACCTCAGTGGAACTACAAAGCCACTAAATGTTTTCCTCAGCTAACATACATTGGCTACATAACCTTTTTTGCACATATCCCCATATATCCCCCATATCCACCTACCCATAACTACAACTTTTTCTTGGTTTTCATCAGAGAACTTGAGGACTTCATTGAACCAGTCCAGCTGGGCTTGGCTAAATCCTCCGTTAAACTCTACAAACTGAGGTTCTTTGAGTCCTGCAACAAAGAAGAAGGTTAGGCATAGGTGCATACACCTCTCGTGGCTCCCCTATTTGCTTGTCTTATGAAAGTCTGCTTACAATAGATGGTTTACTCTTATAACCTTTTTTTTTTTGCATCTCTTGGCTCAAAACTCCAGCCTCCTTGGACAAACAAGAGAAAATTATCTGTTAGTGTTTTGGTCATGCTGCATGCACAGCACTTCCACTCTTGGGTCTGCCCCCCAGCATGGGATAGGGTGGGCATCACTTGACACTCTGCAATAGCAGCTGCACCAACAGCTGCCTTTTGTTCTGATGCTACAGGGCACGCAGCACAACATAAACCCATCCCTAAAGCACCAGAGCAGCATGACAGGTATGGGGAAGCATCTCCTGTGCCTGCCTGGAGACCCACTGACTGGCTCTCAGCTGACAGCAGGGAGGCAGAGGAGGTCGGCAGAAATGGGGTACATGCCCCAGCCCCCGGCAACCAGATGTCAGCCCTGGGAGCTGCCTTATTGCTCTGGGAAGCAGAGCTTCAGCCGCCCGTGCTCCCTGCTAAAGGGATGAGCTGGGGAGTACCTGTGGGGCTGTTGAGGTTATCGTTGGGGTTCTTCTCCCGCAGCAGCTGCAGGGACTCCTGGTAGCGGGGGTTGTCCGGCTCCCTGCCCAGGATGCTCAGGTCATAGGCATCGAGCACGACAATGCGGAACTGTGCAGCCGGGCTGAAGTGATAGGCCTGGCAGTCCCCAGCTGGCGGGTCGGCCATGGTCCTGGCAGGATGGCTGTTGAGGCCGGTGCGCACTAGACGGGCCCGGCTGAAGTTATAGAACTCGTGGTTGCCCCATGCGTGATGCACCGGCACCGGCAGCCGGCCCAGCGCTGCCAGCACCTGCTCCAAGGCACCCTCGGCCTCGCCGCTGCGGGCGTTGAGGCCATCGATGCTGTCACCTAGCTGCAGCACGAAGGCGAGCGGCGGTCTCTCGGCGGCCCACGCTTCCACAGCGTCCCGCAGCAGGTTAAGGCTCTGCCGGTAATACCGCCGCCGAAACCCGCCGAAGTCGTAGCCGTCCTCCGCATCCGCATACTGGATGTCCGCTATGACACCGAAGGAGAAGAGCGGCGCCGCCTCCATGGCGGCCGCTCCCGGGTGAGGGGAACGGAAGGGGCGGGCACGGAAGAGCGGCCGACAAGATGGCGGCGGCAGCGCTACGCTGCTGGCGGGCGGCTCTCTGCTGGCGGCTGCCGGATGCGGTGGTGAGGAGCCGGTGGGCGCTGCCCGTGCCCGGCTGCCGCCCGCTGTCCCGGCTGCCGCCGGGCAGCGGCCCGCGGACGGGCGCGCAGAGGAAGGTGAGGGAAGGAGTGAAGGAGCCACATCCCTCCTCAGAGGGGGAGCCCGGGGCGGCGGGCCGGGCCGCGCTGTTTCCCCCTTTTCAGTCACTAAACAGCTTCTCCTCAGCAGCTGGTGTCGTGGCGGTCGCTGGCGGCCACCTTTGTGCTGTGCGGCGGGCTGCTGGCCGCCATGAAGAAGGTGAAGCGGCGGAAGGAGGAGGGTGAGTGCGGGGGGGAGCGACCGGAGCCTTTCTGCCTCACGGGAGGCCGTGCTGCCTCGGCGGGACCCAGCCTGGGCTGCCAGCGTGTGGGCGGGCGGGCGAAGCAGCAGGAGCCTCGTATTTTGTGTTCAGATGATGTATTTTACCCATTTAGGTATCCTGCTGAATCACTTCATGCTTTGCACAGTGCCGCTTCATGCCTGTTTAAGTGCCACAGAAAATTTTCAAAAATTAAAAAAAAACCTTTAAGGTTAAGCGTTTTAAAATTCTTAAATATGCTTTTGCTGTCGGAATAGTTGCGTTTGATTATGCACACTGCTGCCAGTCGATGCCGCACAGGCACGGCGGTGGGGTTTTCTGTGCATGTGGGTTTTTCCCTCTGTGTAGCCTATGTGTGCATTTCCCTGTCCTGCAGTAACTGCCCATGCATTTCATTTTCACGTTTTTAATGTTGAAAATCAGAGATATTACAGCTTTTAGGATGCGTTCCATTTGCCAAAGATGCAAATTTTTCTGTTTCACACCAAGCCAGGTACCTGTCTTTCCCTTTTTTCCTTTTTATTTTTTTTAAATAGAAATACAATCAGGTGACAATGAAAGAGGTTATTATGTTTCAAAGGAGTTTAGTGAGATACTTGATTTTGCTCAAAATGGAATGCTTTTTGGAAGCCTTGTCCACATTGGACTTCAGCACGATGGACATTGGTAGACTTGATGTTTCAATGCTCTGGGCTGTGACTCTGTTAGGTTGGCTGACTCTCAACTGCTTCTGAGGCTCACCTGGGAAGCAGCGTTGATTGTGGCATGGACGTGTTTGATCCCCTCTTGTTTTTTGTAGAGCTGGAGAAGGAACGAAACCGAGGCATTGGGAAACCGCTGCTAGGAGGACCCTTCTCACTCGTCAACCATGAGGGACAGCCCAAGACCAGTAAGGACTATATCGGCCAGTGGGTGCTGATCTACTTTGGCTTCACACACTGCCCTGACATCTGTCCTGATGAACTGGAGAAAATGATTGAAGTGGTAGATGAAATTGGTATGGAAATTTGGTTCGTGTAGTGGTCCTTTTTATGGGAGGTCCAGGTTTATTGTGGTAAAATATTGCAAATGGTAATAATGGATGATTTTTTTTTTCAGTGTAGTTGACTACTATTCAGTAGTTAAATTAATTGCTAAGTAATACATACATCAATCTGCCTATAGGATCTGATATTTAGAGCACAACAGCACCGATCTTTCTGCAACAGGGGACTTCTTGGTAATAAAACATAGAATTATTTAGGTTGGAAAAGACCTTCAGGATCACTGAGTCCAACCATCAACCATGCCCCCTAAACCATGTTGTGGAGTACCTTGTCTACGCACTTTTTGAATACCTCCAGGGATGTTGACTCAACCACTTCCCTGGGCAGCCTGTTCCAATGTCTGGCAACCCTCTCAGTAAAGAATTTTTTCCTAATGTCCAACCTAGATCTCCCTTGCTGCAACTTGAGGCCATTTCTTCTCGTCCTATCACCAGCCACCTGACAGAAGAGACCAGCACCCACCTCCCTACAACCCCCCTTCAGGTAGTTGTAGTGAGTGATAAGGTGTCCCCTCAGCCTCCTTTTCTCCAGACTAAACAGCCCCAGCTCCATCAGCCGCTCCTCATATGACTTATTCTCCAGGCCCCTCACCAACTTGGTTGCCCTTCTCTGGACACGTTCCAGCACCCCAGTGTCTTTCCTGTAGTGAGGGGCGCAAAACTGAACACAGTACTCAAGATGCAGCCTCACCAGTGCTGAATACAGGGGAACAATCACCTCTCTGCTCCTGCTGGCCACACTATTTCTGATACAGGCCAGGATGTCGTTGACCTTCCTGGCCACCTGGGCACACTGCTGGCTCATATTCAGCCGGCAATGATGGTGGCAGGTTACAGGGAATGGTGCCATTGCGTTGTGTTTTTGCCAAGAAGTGGTTGTGGGGTGTTTCAGGTTTTTTTCCCTCTATTTTATTCATTCTGAGAACAAATCTCTGTGAGAGTCTCTTCTGAGAGTGACTGTGCTGTGGAATGGAAGTTGGGGGAAGGCTGTGTGGTAGAGGTGGTTTTCTCAGGCTGCAGGTCCTGAAGAGTTACAGAGCAGGGATAGTAGTAACCAAGCAAGTGGGAGGACAGACTAAACTGAAGAAAATAATAGTGAAAGCTATGGCTGGAACATGAGGGAAAGAGCCTGAATTGTGTCTTCACCTATCCTCTTGCTCCACCATCACAGGCGTGCTTTTGCTGTATCGACCATTGTGCTTTGATATGTGCATGATGCCATGGCATTTTCTGCATCAGAGCCAATTTGCCATCTCTCCTAAGCAGGGCAAGGTCTCCAGCTGAGAGGCTGGAAGTATAGCTGCATCCAGCAGAAGCACAGAGCGTAGGATTTCATGGCGTTTGTTTCATTCACAAATTACATAAACCTTTTTTTGTCACTTAGGGTAGGCTTGGATTGATGTTACGGTAGCTTGGCTGTGAGCTTGTTTGAAGGGAGGTGAGAAATGATTTTTAGTTTTCTAAGAAAAATAATAATTGTTAATGTCACAGACAGAATTCCAACTTTGCCTAATCTGACCCCGCTCTTCATCACCATTGATCCTGAGAGGGACAATGAAGAAGCCATTGCCAGATATGTTAAAGGTATTACTGTTTTCTTCCTTGATGTCTTATAGCATGTAATATAGAGCACTGAAAAGGAGGCTCTTGATGGGATTCTTTTCACTAAAATGTATAAATGTCTTCTTTCTGCCTAGAATTTTCTCCGAAGCTGATCGGATTGACTGGTACCAAGGCACAGATTGACCAAGTGGCCAAAGCTTACCGTGTGTATTACAGCGAAGGTCCCAAAGATGAAGACGATGATTACATAGTGAGTAAATGTACAGCCTTTGCCTAATGAAAGTCTTTGGATGAGAGCATCATGCAGATTTTAAAATCAGAAGGCAGCTGTTGCAATCTGTGCTGAAGTCCTACATGACAGAGCCCTGTTGCACCGATGTGTTAAGCTGTGTTTTAGAGGTCTCAGTCAGAATCAAGGTGCCCTCTTACAAGCTCAGAACCTCACTGAAACATGTTCTAAAAATGTACAATTCCAGGCCTGCATACAGAATAGCATATGAGCTAGCAAGCCTGGCAGTAATTTGAACTTTTTTTTGTCATGTAATGTTTTTGTCTGGCTGTTTTCCTGTGTGCTCCAAAGTGAAAATGGAAGTGGGAAATTAAGGCAATAGGAAGAGGGAGAAATGAGAGTTAAAAGTGAGTAACAATTCATTCCCTGCCAAACTGACACCAAGGAGTGGAGTCTTCCTGGCTAGAGACTTGGATGATGCAAAGTCTGCCTGCAGATACTGTGGGGATCTTCCTCCTGTGTCAAATGACCTGGAGGAGAGAGCATATTAATGCTAAATTAAGTGGGAATAAAATATGTAGAGTAAAACTGTGAAGGGGGTAACTGAGGTTTAAGTAACACTAAACTGAGTAGTCAAAAATCTTACTTCTGGAAGTGACTAGGATTGGTTATAGGGCTCAGAGCTGCTGCCAAGGCCTTCCTGAATTGCCACATCCTGAGCAGACTGGAAGAGTAAGGTGGGTACAAGTGATAGGACAAGTGAGGATACACGTTATATGATTGTGATTTTTTTTCTTCATTTGCAAGAACTAAAGGCATCAGAGAAAACTAAAAACCGGTTCAAAAGGAAAAGTGATGGTTCTTCTTGCAATGGGCACGTGAGAAGTGGAATCACTTGCTACAGATGCAAATGGTAGAAGTTTATGGGAGTCTACAGGGAGACTTTTCAGTCTTTGGAAAAAACAGTCTGTTGAGGATTATGAAATGGACAGAAGTCTTGGCTAGTTCAGGAAGCCTGGGAGCTAAAAGTATTTGGAAACTGGGAGGTAATAGAGGAAGATAGTATATTTTTGGTGTTGGTTTTATACTCTTCTTTAAAGCAATCATTATTGGCCACTGTTTGAGGTATGATGCTGAGGCAGATTGATTTTGGTCTAATCCGGTATTGTCTATTCTTAATCTGGTTTTTAAAACCACCTGACTGCAGCAAATAAATTATCCACGTGGACAAAACACAAAAAAGTGTTGCTTAGAAAGAAAAAGCAAGAGCATCACATGGTCTCAGTAAAGAGAAGATGGGATCACACTGGTGATATGCACTGCTCTACATTACTAAAGGAGTGTGAAGTGGGAGATCAAGAACTTGTTTTCGCTTAAAGTGGCAACTCAATAGCTACAGAAGTCTGTGTCTAAGATACTGTATTTGAATGGAGGAGAGAAGCTTGCTGGAGAAATTCAACACCAATTTAAATCAATCTAGCATCAATCTGAAATCAATCTAAAGATACTGCTTAAAACCAGATTTCTAAAAGGGGGCTGGTGGAAATGCAAGAATAGGTTACAGGAACAGGGTTGGCAAAGGATGCCTGCTCAGGAGAGGGAAAAAATCAGTAGAATCTGACACTAAATGAGTGAACTGAAGTTGAGGAGAGGTGATGGAAATAGAAAAGAGAAGAGCTGAAGGAGTGCTGCTCCTCATGAAGTAAACTGCATGTGGATTCTAGCAAACCAGACC